ACGTTATTTTTCCATAAAATACTTAAGTAAAGTTATAACTTTAAATGTTTGACTCAGATCACAATATTTCATTCGATGTAAAATATTAAGTTTGTTTTATCTATGGTTTAACTTAGGCCAGAGTTTCTCTTAAAGTGAGGTCCGCAAGCATTTTTTTGTTGGGTCCACGAAAAACATTTAAACCAAATTTATTTTTATATGTATTGTAAATTATATTGTACTAGCCTATTTTGCTATATGCTAAAGGATTAAAATTAAGAAAAATGCAAACAAACTTAAACCTAAATAAGTAACTTACTTATTTATTTAGGTTTAAGTTCGTTTGCATTTTTCTTAATTTTGATTTTAATAAGTTGCTTAAAGGCCTATTTTGCTTGGAGCGATTGCAGCGATAGTCATGTGGCGATAATCGCTCCGCAATACTAGCTGGGCACTGCTCTGACAGAGTTTGCGTTGTCCTATTTTGCTTGGAGCGACTATTGCAAGAGCCGCTAGCTACAGACGCGGACCACTGCCCTGGGTACCAGTCTGAGCGATAATCGTGCCGCGACTGAACCTCAAAACAGTCCAGTTCACTCAGTAGGCACATTAATAATAGCCTACGGGTTAAAATAGCGATAATTTACTTTTTTGTTCACATTACTTTTTCCATTCATGTGCTGTTAAGGTTGTACTATTTTGGTTATTTTTCCTTACACATTAATTTCATTTTCTATATTTAATTGAAGAAGAAACAGGTGACTCTTCATTACCAGCAAACTTTGCATTGTTTTTGCTCAAATGGTTGTGTTTACTTTTTTTTAGGTAATCCTCGTCTATTCGAATTTAAATATAAAATGCTTGACTGTGTGTTATTTAGTTGTAGGTTTTAATACTGTACCTAGTGTACCTATCAGTTTTTTGTATGAATAAATATTTTTTATTTAGACTCCAAGTTTTATTTTCCGACATTTATATAGGCTACTCTTATTGATACCGGTATCACTAATTTGTTTTTATTGATATAAATATATTTTTTTTATTGATATCACTACAGTTTTCTATTTATATCCTACCTAGTGACATCTAGTGATACGTATCCTTCCAAAATCCTATGTATCACTATGTATTTCCTATCGATCGTCTATTGATACTTCAACTAGGGTCAAGTAGAGCCTTGTTTTTTAACTCCTCCCTGAGTAGATACTTTAAAAAGTTACAACACGCACTCATGACCTCACCATTGTGAGTGCCGGTATTCAAATAACTATGAAAAATCGTGCAAAGACCGAAAATCAATCGTTCTAAGCAAAACGGCCGCTGTAACAGCGATAGTAACTGAGCGATAATCGCTGTGCGACTATCGCTACAGTCGCTCCAAGCAAAATAGGCCTTAAGTTAAGTAGGCTAAATCAAAGTTAAGTTAACTTAATGCCAATTTTAGTTTAATGGAGAAGAAACGTAGCCTATATCAGATACTCATCGTCTGATAGCTGACCAGACTCTTACTGCGATTAAACGTAGGTTACTGCATTTTATCCGACAGTGTCACTAACAAAGTAGGCTTAAATATCGAGTAGGCTACTGAAGTAACTTAGCTTTAAGTTCCTAGCCCTAAGTTATAAGTTACCTACACATTAAAATATCATGGTATAAAATATGGCATTAAGTTAAGTCTAAAGCCGGGTTTTCCTGGACGCGGAAGAGGAGTGCGGAGAGCGGAAAATCGATTAACATGGCATTCCGCTCCGCTTCTAGGAAAAAAGTAACATTAAACTAACTTATTTAAGACAAGAGGAGTTCACTCTCCACGCTACTCTCTCCCCGCCTAGAAAAACCAAGCTTTATAGAATAACTTAGTCTACAACGTAACTTAGGCCCATTATACCTATCTTACATGGAGAACTTGATATCCAAGCTGGTTAAAAAAATGTTTTTAGACATACAAACAACTCAAACAAACTAAGTTAGGCCGATAAGTTAATTGACAACAAATTATCGGTCATATTTAAATACACTTCACCTCTAACCTTTTTATTTTTTAGGCTAGGCTAGGTTGACCAACTCAAAAGTGGCTTGCTTTGGGCTTTAGGCTATATACTTAGTTCTTTCAAAATTTTCACTGATTTTGAGTTTACTTAATTTCTTCCTAGGCTATTCTCGTAATTAAGACGATTTGATTTTGTTAGTCACAATCCTTGAGTTTACTTAGTTTGTGCTAGGCCGCTAGGCCTAATAAGAACTTACCTTGATGGATAAGAAGAAATATGCCTAGATGACACTTAATAAAAAATCAGCTTCAACAATAAATAACTTGAACAACTCAGCACCACAATATCGATATTCTCAATGAGAGAGATTGAGAATGAATCACTCACAAAAATACACAAAGACAAAGCAGCAATATGGCCGATGTCGTCTTCAAGTGTTGGTCCCACCGTTAGCGTCGTTCCCGCTCGGAATTGTGGGTAACTTACACTCGACTCCAATTCGAATCCAACGTGATACTTAAAAGCTGTAATTTCAAGCCAATGTAAGCGTAATGGAAGTGCATTGTGGGTAATATTACACTCGACTCGGGTTCGAATCTAATGTGATATTTCAAAGCTGTTAATACAAGCAAGTGCAAGCGTATTGGTAGTGTGTTGTGTATGCTCGAATCCAGTTTGAATCTAATGTGACATTTCAAAGCTGTTAATTCAATCCACTGTAAGCGTAATTCAAGTGTGTTACACGAAGTTGACACTTGACTCGAGTTTGAATCTAAAGTGACAATTCAAAGCTGTCATTTCAAGTAAAAGCAAGCGTAATTCAAGGCTTGAATCAAGCTAACGTGCTATCTGGGTGGACATTTCCTCTTAAAACATGTTTGTTTGAGTTCTTTTTCACAAAAATGGAGACTTCATAAATATACAGATTTACAACAGTTAAATATACTAGATTCTATGAACAGAGATTTACAATGGTCTAATCTTTTGGCATCAGTAACAATTCTAATGACTTTTTTCTGTATCAATAACACCTTACCAATACCAACTCCATTACCCCAAATCACAATACCAAATCTTATGATGCTCTCAAAAAATGCAAAATAGGCTAATTTCAAATAGCTATTAGTGACATGATTCCTTAAACTGCTTAATAAACATTTGACTCTGGATAACCTTGTACAGATAAAATCAATATGATGCTGCCAAGACAGCCTATTGTCAATATATATACCTAAAAGCTTAACAGAAGCGGCCGAACAAGTATGTATGGTAATATTTTCAGAATCACATAGCCAAAGCTGAAATATTCCCATCTGACTGGCAAAAAGATAGCCAAATAGACTAGAGAGCGGAAGATTCAAGCATATTCATTCAAATAACAAAGCCTGCATATTGCAGAATACAAAGAATACTAGTGGAAATTGCATTGACAAAATTGAAGGATGCTGCAAGCGTCGGTTGGAGTAAAATATAAATATCTGACAAGCAATCTGACACATACTTTCTCCCATTAAAAGGACTATAACCATGGATAAAACATACTCCTCTAGTCCTTGAGGAACAAGTATGTTTTATCTATGCTATAACACGATTCTAAATTTTAATCAAAGTCGTTCGGGCCGGTTTAAAAATATTATATTTTCCGTTAACAATCAGAGACCAGTATCGAAATTATTCTTCCTGTCACAGCAATTACAGCATAAAATTGCCCAGTTATCTGTTGCATTTTTTTTGTGGGGGGGGGAGTATGTTTGAACTTGAACTTGAAGTATTGTGTCTGTACATACATCACACGTTTCATTAATTAATTGCTATAATCGGTTTACATTTCTTTGTTTACCTTCTTTTTGTTATTTCTTTCTTAGTCATGTTAAAATAAACTATCAATAATTGCACTTTATCTTTTTAATGAGTAAAATCTTATCTTGATTAACTTTACTAGTGGTGTCCAGACCAGCTTTTTTTAATATGCCAGTCCTTTAGAAATCCTGTGCTGAGCCCATCTTATATCAATCGAACGTGGCTCCAACAAGGGACATTCAAACTAAACTCATCTCTAATTCGCATAAAAAAAAAAAAAACTAAGATAACGTTATCTAAGGAATTCTATGTTTGATTACTATCAAAACCGACAACTTTGTTTACCTCAAAACATGTCCTACCCGTCCAATTACCGCGTGATTTATATTAACGTGATATTCATTTTAAAATTCATCACTAAAATGAGAGCTAAAAGAATACAATCAAATAAATTATTTTTGAGTTTCTTTTACGTTGTCTTGATCACCCTTTTAGCACTTCTCATAGTGGAGTTGAGCCTGGGGAAGACTCTCGTCAATCATGCCAATGTACGCAGCCATTTTGGCAATGTCCTGTTCAGTAGTTTAATTGACTTTGTGCTTTAAGCCCCGGTGGCACCCCGAGAGGACAGTACTCCTCGTCCTCTTTCAGGCACACCACAGGGGTTCCAGCAATATCGAACAGTTAGCCAGGACACCATGGTTGCGGCAATCCATGTCAAGGCTTGTACACTTCCTGGGGTTGAACCTGAGGCCCACCCAGGCAGCGACATCCTCAGTTGTCGAGTTTCCGCATCTTCTCCTTGCCTGACACAATCAGATCCAGATCGTCCGCATAGGCCACCATAGATAAGGAGCGACCACAGAGTTGGAACCGATTCAATTCAGCAGCACGGTGTACTACACAAACTATACTACAAAACGACTAGGATTGATGATGTGGTGAAAAGGTGTTTAACCTATTTATTAGTTTCTATGATGGTAATGAAGAGTATTTTTGTATCCAAATTTCTAAGCAATGTTCTACTAGAGTACTACTTAAAAAAACTGTTTTATGGATGAGATTATTTCCTCTAATTTACATAATTTCCTTAGTTGTTTGCAAGTTATGTGTCTTAAAACACTATTTAAAAATATGAAGGATGCAAACTATTGAACTATTTCTAGACTTGATTAATATTTCATAGAAACGGTAAGGGAGTAATATAGATAGGAAAATAATTTTGCAGCATTTATAGAAATAATGATCTTGTATTGTCTTAGATATTTAGTATTTACATGAGCTTTTCATACAATGTACAACTTATGTCTATTTAAAATTAAAATAATTAACAATAGTTATTGAAGAATATTACATTAAATAATTTACACAATTTATACAATTAATTAAACAATGATACAAATACAATAATTTACAACAAACTAATCGTAGTTAAACTAAAATTCAGGCAAAACCTGTTAAGTAAGACATAGCGTTAAAATTACTTTCAGTGCTTTGTAAGTACAGTAGGCCTACATTATATTTACATGTTGAAAAATTTCAGACATTTTAGTTCAAAATTGTAGTGTAAATTGATAACGTTAACTGTAACAGATTTTAAATGACAAATGAAAGAGAAAAAAAATTAAAGTAATTACTTTCTTAATACCTATGGTTGTCAAACTTTTTAAAACACAGCCAAAATTACATAGACAATTTTCAGCGTGATTACACTTTTCCTAAAATTTAATCCGAAGTATTTTTTTGTAATACGTGTGATAACAATCCTACACTGGTTTAGTCAAGACATATTGTCGTTCTTTTTTTTAAGTTTAGACAGAGCTTAGGCCAACTTCTAAATTAAGTTGGTGACATATCTAATGTTGCCCAAGGCATAAAAAAAAAATATTGAACACAAACTATAAGCCATAAGGACGTTTTAGTTTTAAGTATAAAAGCCATATAAAATAAACTGTGTATAGATATACTTATATTAATAATAATACTTTTTCGAGGGATTTTTTGTCCAAACATATTTACATGCAAGGTTTACAGTTAAAAATTGTACCCCTATTACCTGAACAAGTTTTCACATATTGTATAAAATAAATGATATGTCAGCGCAAATATTATATAAAAAATATTATTAAGTACAATTCTTTAAAATTGGACGGAACATTACATTTTACAATGCCTAAATACAACAAGACTAGTATAACATATTAAAAATCTTTAAGAGGCTTCTTAAAATGTAACAATGCCTTTGATTGTCTTTCATTTTCAAATATTTTTAATCAAAACATTACTGTTAGTAAAATATCACATTTGTATTGCTTTTTATCTCACTTATTCAATAAAACTAACAAAAGGGTAGTCAAAAATTAAAATTATAACTACTGGAAAACCTAGGATCAAGTTAGTTTTTTGTCTTTAACCATTGTATGGAAATATTTTAAAATAATATTCAAATCACATTGCTCTGCTGGAAACAATGAAATTATGATCTGTTAAACATTTACTTAAAAAACTTATAATATTACTGGAAACAAACGGATTTAATCCTAAATACAATTTCTAGCCAAGAAAAAAATATAGGCTGTATGAATGTTAAGAGAACTGCTTATAAAAATTTCTAATGTAAGTTTTAACTTTCTAAAAATTCTATAACTCTAAAAAATAATACAATTGAAATGATCAATGCATGCACCACATATGATTGACACTTAACATATATTCTTAGAATAAAACCGGCACAATGAACTTATTAAAATCAGCTAAATCAAAAATATAATTTTTTCTTTCAATCACAGATTAATAAGGTCTCAAATAATACACAAAATACTCATTTCATCACAATGCTTGGAATATTAAAATAAGTATAAAAAATAAAATGTAAAATGGAATGTTAACTTAAATATAAAAGTACAATGAATGGTAATGGTGTTTTGTTGTTGTGTCACACAATACATGCAATAAAAAAACCATTATTTTGAAAGAGAAGGAACTCACACATTTTTTATCTATTCTCAGATCAAATTTAAATCTAAGTGATTATTGGCGTGTAGCGTTTGGTGCTCCTTTAATTAAAACCAGGTGAACAAACATAATCTTAGAAAAAGCCATTATTATCTTACTTGTAAAAAGCCAATATTTTGTGTATTTGCGCCCAGTCCATGAGCAATGTCTAAATGATACTCAACTGACGTGTAGCTAGAATCAAATTATTAATCACGTGTTAAGCTCAAATTTTAAATACTGAAAGGAAGATGAAAGAATTTACATAGATCACTAAGCTGCTTGCACAGTTTGTGACAACTTATGGCGATTCTAAACATTGAGCAATCATCAGACATTTGGACTCGTAGACTGTGATTCTCTTATTGTAACATGAGTTACGAACGGCCCGTGAGGCTTCCGCTGCTTGTTGTTGTTATTGTTGTTGTGGTGGTAGCCCTGCTGAATGTTGTTGTTTGTGTGGTAGACCTGCGGCTGGTTGAGGAAGGGCTGGTACAATCTTGGCGGCTGCCCATAGTTCCCGCTACCTCTATGGTTGTTGTTAATTCCTAGTAATAAAAAATTTATAAATTAGGTTTTGTTTTTGAAAACAATGTGATGCTAGGTTGCTACCAGACTTTTATAAGTTCAAAAATAGTAACTAATATTGGGTGTTGTAAAAGAATCAAGATGAGTAAAAATGTGTTGTTTAGTAACCAATTAGTTAGGATAAATTTGGATTAGGTCTATAATTAGTCAAAATATGTATAACTCGCACAAATATGTGTACAAACTTGTCCTATCCATGTAAATAGTCAGAAACTTGTTTGTCTAGCATCCCACATAGCACAAGTACATCAATTTGACGTGAAATTGATGTCAAAAACGTCAACACCAATGATATTTTTTATGTAATTTTGACATCAATAAAAATCAATTATCTCAAAATGACGTCAATATGAAGTAAAAAGTTCTCTCAATTTTACGTAAATATGATGAAAAAATTGACGTCATTTAACGCCAATATGACGTCTACAAATTGATCAGGACGTAAATATGACGTCTACAAATTGATCAGGACGTAAATTTGACGTTTCTTACTTAATTCTTACGTAAAATGTAAAATTGATGTCATGTGCTATAGGGATTGTTGGAACAGGTGTTATTGCTGTATTCCCTCATGTTTTACATGATCCTGTTATTTACTGACTTTTTTACAAAATGTGTGGATTGATTATATCCAGCTTTTTGGTATTTACTTGATTTGGAATTTTTTATTTTGGACAAGGTTTCCAGTCCAAACAAGAGGAAGTACTCTGTAATAGCTTAACACATTCGCTGCTACGGACGTTCCGGAACGTCACCGTTCATTGTTGTTTAACGTTTCCATGGATCAGCCAGCTCGTCACGAACGTCCTATATTTCTTTGCAGCTTGTGGGGACGTACTTTTCTGACAATAAAAAATATAGTTTCCCAAAATCACCCCCCGGGTCGTTTAGAACAGGGCTTTGTCCCACCTCTTTCCTGCTAGATAGCGACACTACTTTACCAACTGCAACCTGGGTAGTGCTGCTATCTATCAGAATCACTTAGTACTATGTCCAAAGCCAGTTTTATTGCAGAACATTGCCATCCAGTATAACTACTGTTGTTTTTACTGTAATTCAGTGTATCGGCGGCAATGTTACACAGCGGCGAGCGTTAGTTCAGCTCCTGGCACCATCCCGGCATCTAGCTGTCAGCAGCGAACGTGTTAAAAAGACAAATTCAAGCACTTTGGTTCTATCTTACCATGGGTGGGGGCGATGTCTTGACGACGAGGCAGTGAGTTACTATGTCCGTCGCCTCGCAGCACGGCCTGCACACTCTCGTACTCGTAAAAGTTGCTGACAGGTCGATGAGACACTTCTCGAGGATCTCTTCGCTGAGAGTGGTAATGTTGCTGCCTTCGACTGTTAACAACAATGCTTTGTTACTACAACTTACTTACTTAAACGAGTAATAAATTGGTCATCAATGAGTCACTGATCTTTCATTTGTTTTTTCCCCAAAATTTTCTAAAGACAAGGGTTTAATTACCTATGTCAGTTAAAAATTTTCAAAAATATATGGCACATAAATTTATCGACAAATAAAAGTTCTACAACTTTTAAAGAAAGAATGATTGTGGTTTAGGAATTATTGTTAAGATTCAGGCACATATTTTGATAACAATTGCATATTTGACAATGCATTTTTAGTTAACATAACTTCTTTTATTAAACTCTTCACTTTAAATGTATGTTTCTTTAATTGGTCTATTTCAATGGTCCAACTAAATACACAAGCATTATAAGCTATGACCCTGACCAAAAATAAATAGATAGAAACAACCTACCCTACAAGTAACAAATAAATACAAAATTATAGCCTTGAAGATTACTGTCACAAGAGTCATAAAAAATACAAGTAAATGTAGAAGAGATAGAAGAGCAAAGCATAACGAGACTGTTAAAAGAACGCCTTGGAACTGACATGCAATAAATACAACATGCATGAATAGGTACACAAAATAATCGAAAACATTAAATTTAAACTACATGCCTACTGAATACTGATTCACTGTTATGAGATCAAAAATTCTACTTATTTAGAATTTGAACAATTAATGGTATCACAAACAATTCCAATCACTATTTACTATGAACAATTACTAACAGATAAATAAAGAAACAAAATATGCTTTACATTGACAATTTTTGCTACGAATGATACAAAATTTAATTCCCACATAAACAAAAAATTAAACATGTAAAAGATTTAATTAAAAAATACTTTACAAGAGGGTAAGATCTGAGAGTACAGTAATTTCACTATTGCAACTTTAAACGCAATTTTAGCAAAAACTTTAACTTTTAGACTAAATTATAAAAAATATAAAAAACTACACATACACCTGAAAAATTGTCAAACCGAAGATTATATTAATACTTGAAACTAACTTTAGCCTAACAATTTACTCCAACAATTCAAAATTTTAAAACAATATTGTATACAAACAAGTACGTAACTATTCCACTACCAGTTGAGGTTTACCTGTCGTCCGCCCCCACAAGGTCACCAGGGGAGGGGGGAGGGGGTGCAGGCCTTCTCAGTCTCACTTGCTCTCTCTCCGAACTACCACCAACAAAGAAACATGCAATACACCGTCACACCTCACACCCACCAGGCTCAAACCACCACTTTGCATCACCAAGCTCGTCAAAGCTGTCGAAGTATTGGGATTGGAAGTATTTATGACTGCTTTAGAATGCTGATTGAAGAAAAATGTAAAAACTGACAAATTGAAACCAAATAACCGGATAGATCTTTTAGCAGTTAAATTTATGTATATGATGCCATTTTCAAAAAGAAACACCAGACCGTATATTTATGTTATTTATGTTTTGTACAATTACATGGAAACATTGACACACACTACAATATAAACAAAATCACAGTGAGATATGACGTGTTCAACTAGCAATAACACATGGCACATGAGACTACTGTACGGAGGAAGGAAAATACTAACATGAGGCAACGGAACCAAACGTTAACTATATACTACGTTGAAAGCTGGTATTGTTACTGTCCTATGAAACTGATCTTAGCATCTCCAATAGCCTATGACCGAGCGTCCACTCATTGACAGTGTTCCGGTATTTGTATTTTCACGTTGCTACCTAATGTAATAAAGTATAATCACAATCACTAAGAAAATGATTGCGAGGGATTATCACTGATTTTGACGAGATTGCAAGAGATGATTTTGCTGTGTTCACAACGAGTGCTCGCAGATGTTGCCGCAATCAGTCATCCAATTTTTTGGCGGTTGGGATGCATCCAATTCAAGTAACTTGGCACCCAGGTATGCTACCTCTAGTACTACGTAGAAGATAAGTACACATCCTCCTCTATACACTAGTTTTGATCACCATTTTTGATCAACACCCTGATCAAGAATCCAGTTGATCACACTTAATTTCAGTGACTTGAACTCGAGATACATACAATATTTTGTGCCGAAACAATTTAAGCTGGTTGCCTACTTCCAAAATATATTCACTCTCACCGATTCTGCATTATGAATCATTGTCTGCAGCAAACTGTGAAACAAAAGCCAGGTCTGGGAAACTTTATTTTAAAGAGGCCCGATATTTTCGGTGACTTTTGAGACCTAAAAAAACCAGTGACTTTCCTTGACTTCTGTGACTGGTACCTTGTTGATCCCCCCAATGCTGCGTCGCTTAACTATCATTGTCAGATCATGCCAACAGTAGACTCAGGGTCTTTTTTTGTACCAAGGTACCAACTGGTGCCAGCATATTATCTTTGGTTCTTCTTACCTACACATTTTTCTAGAACCGACAGTAAATGTTCATTGAAAATTTAGTGTTTATTTGACGTTACATGATTGACAAATATGAAGCAAAGCAACACAGAACAAACTGAATTAAAAAAAAAAAAAACACCCCCTGACCCAGTGCTTCTACCCCCAGGAACAAATTATGGATTTGCAACTGCTCATGAATTATAAATTCAATCTTATTACATCTGAAAGGGTTTCCACGATGAAGTATTCTAAAAACAATATTACTAATAAAAAAGTTATGGTCTAAATGTAAAGTTTAGGATCATACTTAAAAAAAACAAAAAAAAACAGTTACATTTATCACTGGGATAATTATTATTACACTTTGAATCACAATTTCATCAAACAATTCCTAGACTAGAATTTAGACCGTTTACTATCAGTTAACTTAAAAGAAAAAAATATATATAAAAAATTAGTCCCAAACCTATACCTCAACCATCCCACATCCTAGTTGTATACCAGCTAACAACCATACCATGACATACAATATTGCATAAAAAAAAAACACCGTACCCATTTATACTAAACTTCTGCCGCAAAAAAAAAAAAAAAAAAAAAAAAAAATAGGATGTTGAATGAAATTAAAAGTAATTAAGACAACTAAAGAAGTATTTTATATTCTCCAAAGTTCTTGATTTTTTTCTTCAATTAACTCAAAATAACTTTATAAAACTATTTTGACATGTGAAATCATTACAAGAAAATGGAAAATGTCAGTTTTCATGAAGAAACAGAAAAGAAACATGCTAACAAGAGTAGACACGGCGACCTTGACATTTACATGCTGTGGTGAGTGAGATAGAAACATTAACAGAGTGCAGAACAAACGAGAGATGAAAGAAGTGTTTGAGCCTGGTTACAAAACACCCACATAGACACCATTCCAGTGCAAGTAGAAAAAAGTAGGTGCAAAATCCTTATACTAAGACAAATAATTAATAAACATAAAGAGCACACACCATTATAAACAGATACAATCATTTCCACTGTTGAAATATTTATAATTGTTTCTTGTATTGCTAGGGGCTTTTTAGGAATCGGACAGTTAACATACATAAGATCGAGTGTCCAGGGATTTACAAGGTACAAAACTAAACACTGATATATCATCATCCATAATAATGATATTTATATATTAACATATATTCATGCAACCATCAGAAACTGTGGTCACCATAGGGGGGGGGGGGGGGTTTGCAACACAGTGGAATACATTTTAGAATTTTAATGAGGTATCTCATACATTTGAATACACTGACAAAATACCAGTGTTTTGTTTGACTTAAGGGTGCGCTCTACCCCTGCCGTTTTGTGTAAACGCAAGGGTCTGGGGCAACAGTGTTTCCAAAGGCTACACTTAACGTAGAATCAAAGTTAGGGTGGCATTTTAAAGAGGATTAAATTATCTAGATTGTTGTGGTTTCAATATGTTTTATATCGTACCATAAAGCCTAAAAATCTTCTTTGAATGTAGACGGAAAACGGCAATTTCAAACTGCTTCAACTCATTATAGAATTATTACTTTAAAGTTCTAAAACCAGGGTCGCATAGATTGTTCTTTGTTCTATAAAACCCCACTCATTATTTTTTACTAGCATGTATGGGTAGTTTTAGTTTACAAAGGCAGTTGCCGTGAACGTGTGCAAGCGCTTCTCGCGGCGCTGTTCAATGGCGCAACATAGTTACTGAAGCCCAAGCTGAGATTTCCGAGTTGAGGTAGAGCGCACCCTTAATGGAGTTACATAACCAACTCATCCCAATTATCACAATCCAATTAATTTGACATTGCACCCCCACAAGGGGGCTTCATCAGGATGAAGTGCAATGTACAATGAGCACAATGTTTAGTTTAGTGACCTTGTTTTGTTTAGCCACTGTAATTTAATTTTCTCCAGTACGTTAGCAAAACTCTACCCCTTTAGAAAAAAACCCTTTATCAGCTTCGTAACCTTAAAACATAACTAAACTAATAGCCTAACATTTTCTCCCATTGTGGACATTTTCATTGAATCAGACACCCTACTGAGAATTCATTGTATCCTGAATTTATGATCCACTCACCTATTTATTCTTAAGATGTACTCCCTGGCAGGCAAAAACAAAACAGATCCATTTACATAAAACAGATACCGGTAACTTGTAAATATTGACTGTAACAACCGCTTATTGCACACAATTGATAATGGAGTTTTCTGGAAGTATTTCCTGAACTGTATGACTGATTTGGATTCTTTTAATTTTAACAAGCTAAGATGAAGTAATTTAAGAGATGTAAGGAAATCATTTCAGGTTCATCAGGTTTCACGAGACTGGTATCACGGTGACAAAGCTCATCTATTAAAGTTTTTGACAGTTTGTTGCGAACAGAGGTAACTTTCAGACAAATTGTATTCAGAATCCATAGATTTTCAGCCACCCTCGTAATCAGTCTAGATCCACTGCAACATTCCAACCTTGCTTTGAACTCGCACCCTCAGTGGCTAAGCTGAAACTAAGTCTGTGAGTATCTGACAGACAACACAGTTGGCCCAAAAAATCTATGGATTCTGAAATTGGTCAAGAAAGCAAACATTTAAAGAACCTCGTACTCACTTGAGATGCTGTTGGATCTCCTGGTAGTTGACATAGTGGCTGAACCGAGCAGGATCAGTGATACCAACTCGACTGCCGGGTCTGGTCATGGCACTGGGATCGAACTCTGGTCCTTCCAGCCTCTGCAACAAATATTGCAACTGAGAAACTAAACAAGCGAACACAAACTAGATACCTTACCGAACACGGTCGCTCAGTCATGGCGTCTGATGTTGGTTTACCAATCATAATTGTTTTGATACCAGCAGCACTATATCATAACTACAGACACCACTGACATGGTAGATCATAAACAGATCAGCTGTTTTGGTGACAGGCGGAAGAGGCTGTTTAAAAATATAAAGAAAATTGAAGATAAAATATTGAAGAGTTACAGTTACTTTTACGTACTGTATACTTTAATTTACTTTAAGTACATGTAACGACATCTTTTCACACAGCCGAATTGCATCCTCCAACATGTTCTACTTGGAATTGTCTCAAAAATGTTAATGTTCAAATTACTTCGTTAAAGGAAAGGAGCATTTATCTACTAAAATTAAATACCAAAACATAAATAAAGCTAGAACTATGATCAACAACTCTACCATTCGAAGAATATGATAATTATTGCAAAACTAAAATAAAATACTACTATCTCCTACTCTATTTACATAATGTACACATTATTTTCACAATACTTTTGTATAGTTACAATCTACATTTGGCACACATAAGCATCCCCACAATTTTGGGGTAGCTAAGACTGATTCAAACACAAGCATGCACTGATACATCATGCTTCTAGGGCTGGGAAAGAAACTTACTCAAGTTGACAGTAGCCCAATTGACAGTCCAAAATTTTAAGTAATTCAATCACATTAAAAGATTAAATTTAAATAAAAAAAACTACAGTTGGGAATTTTGGTTGACAATATAACTTATTGGTGCGGTTTTTAATCCAAAGATTCTTATACAACCACTTGACAGATTTTCATGATTCTTCGACCTTCGGTCAAAAGAAAGATAATTTTGAGAAGAAGGGAATGTTGAAGGTTAAAGCCGAAATTTTAAGTTTGGGTTTCTTTTTTTAAGGAATTGAATTTAAAGTTTTGAAATAGTCTAGCAGTTGACACTAACATTTTGAGTTTGTTTCTAGCAATATAAGTTATTCTGACAAAGGGCTGGTTTTTCTGTCACTGAAATCTTCACATTTTAAGTTGTTTACAAAATATTGATCGTTGATGTATTTATTATGATCATATTTTATGTAGTTTTTGTTTTTTCCAATTGGAACTTTTTGTGTCACTATGCCAAACAAAATTTCACAAAACCTTTTTAAAGTTTTTCTTTAAATGTTACATCAGATGACCACTATAAATATTAGACAACACTTTAAATACCGCTATTTAAACTTAATAGCCCTCCACTTGACACTTGAGTAGGTTTCTTTCCATCAATACATGCTTCTACAGTCATGTGTACCTTTAGGTAATGTTCCTGAACAGTTCTGTAGTACGTGGGTGGTGTGATACTCTGCAAACAAAATTATTTATGTAGGCCTTTAAAATTCAGTTTCAGATGCTGTACTTCTACTCACTAACAGAAATATTTATTCAAGACATGGGAAATGATTCCTTTTTTACATAATTCATGACGGTAAAAACGGGATCCTCCATGGGGGAAAAGTGAATTTTAATGTAATTGGTTAGAAAATAAAACTAAATTACCTAATGTCTGTTTTTCTGTACTTTTCATGAAGTTTAAATCAAAGCATTAGAGCTAGTCTTGTACGAACGCAGAAATTACTGAGGAAAAATGTGAAAACTTAACAACAGAGTCACAAGAGTATAGCAAATCACCCCAAACCAATTCATAGCTCAGGACGTTTAATCCATAAAAGGTACGGACCGTTTTGTCGTTTCATCTTTTCATTTTCTAAAATAATCCCTTGTCTGAAATACAATCTCAATACATTTTAAATTTTAATTAAATTGAATCATAATGCATGTTTAAAAAATTTTTATTAACTGTTTGAGTGTTTAGACACAATTATAAGTACAATCTCCTAAAGAAATAAATTAAATAAATGGACTAACCAGAACTTAAAATCGCATGCACATAACAATGAATAAAATAAAATTAAATGAATCTTGATTTTTTGGTAACCAGGTATCCTAGAACAATCCCAAATTAAAGATACACAAAATAGCTGGTTTTAATTAGAGTTCCTTAATGTTAAATATATTGCTAACTTTATAGGGATTCCCCAGCCCAAAACTTAATAGTGCAAAGTTTTAGTATGTCTCTTGCAGAACCCCTTCCTATTCTAAGCTTGTTATCCCAAGCTAAGCCCTTGTGTAAGCCCTTGTGCCCTATTTTAACCATAGTATTTACCTGTCGAAGTGCAGCCTCGTATCTCTCCTCCTTCTCGTCCAGAGGGTATTGTCTGTGTCGCTCTGCGTGTCGCCGCTGGTGCTGCGCGCGCAGCTGTTGTATCCTCTCTGTCCGCGTCACCTCTCCCCCACCACCACTGCCCGTGCTACCACCTCCCATAGACTGGGGACCATCACTGCCGCCAGATAGCTCTCTCTGCTGCAAGTACAAGAGCAAGTCAATACCAGCCAATGAATGAACTCTGTATACTGTACCTAACCTTGAGAAACACTTGTCTTTCATGAGCAACATATTTTGTATAAGCTGTTCAGGCAGAGTTGCAGAAAAACTTTAGTGAAATATGCTTGCGTTTATTCATCCAAAGGTATAAAAAAAAACACTTTCCACAAAATAAAATCTAAGACTAGTACATTGAAATCCATATTCCCCATATTATAAATATTTGGCTTTCATCAAACCCATACATTTTGTATCCTGTTTTTCTTATTATATACAGTAGCTAGAATTGATGCTGCTAAAAATTATTATAAGTTATTACTACTTCACAAGGGTAGTTTTTAAAGAAAAAAAAAACAACCTGGCTTTAGAATTATTGTATAGGAGAAGGGAAGGATACCCAACTAACTCGCCTGAATTAAGAGTCCCAGGAGGTTAAAAGAACACGTGTTACTTTAATGTGTTCTATTAACCTCCTGGGACTCTTTATTCAGGTGAGTTAGTTGTGTATCCTTCCCTTCTCCTTAAAAAGAATTACTACTTCACAAGTGACTAATGATCGTTGATATTGTTTGGTGCATCAATTTAGATGTTTATCAATTCAAACTATACAAAAACCAGGATAAATGTATATAAGTCCAACAGCAAAACTATTGATAAATTGCCCAATCTAGAAAGTTTAATGACATTCAGAAAGAATCATACATACTACAAAGACTGGGATGAAATACCAAAGGCTAGTCATTGACTCACATGCATGGCCTGCTCCTGCTTCATCTCCTGCTGTCTCTGCATCAGTCTCCTGTATTGCTCTTGTATCCTCTCCTGTTCCTCTCTCATCCTCTGCTGTTCAATCCTCCGTGCAGCCTCCCTTTCCTCCTCCCCTGTTATTCCAATGTCCGACCCACTCCCTCCTTCCTTCCGGTGTTTGCCGAACCTACAAACAAAAATAATAGTTGTAACACTGTAGGTGCCACATGTTGAAACAGGCAAGATATAGAAACAATTTATATTATTTTTAACACATAACGAGAAGGCTTGGTTTTAAAACTAGTTTTCAAATTAGGCATATACCTTACGACATTATCTATTTCTTAGACAAATTTTTAGTTCTACACCAGATGTGATGTAAAAAAAATTGGACAGTTTGTGATTGAAATTTAAAAATTTATTTAATTGCAATTAATACATTACGTAAAGTGTTTCAATTTTTTAAACCAAACATTAAATAGTACAACCCTTATAGCTAAAAATAGTATCTTTAAAACTATTACGTTTTCTATGTTTTCCCCCGTAAAATACCATAGTTACGACCTCCGCTAACCCATGATAAGGGTTCTTGACAAGCTAATGAGAAAAGTATGTGTCAGATTGCTGATACAGTTTATTTATTACTATTAATTTTAGGTTTTCACTATCACATTTCCAACAATATCACAACATCCACTACTGACTTGAACAAGTTTTTGAGGCTGAGTCCAGTCTTTTTCTTGTTTGCCTTGATCATCTTGCAGTCCATGGCCGTGTTGAGGGAAGACTGTCGAGGACCCAACACACCTTCCGTCTCGTCCTCCGCCACTGGTAACATAAATTTACATCAATTCCAGGACCAAAACCTTGATTTATTTCATCCGCTATCATAAATATGATGAAATAATGACAGAGCATAAAGTAAATTACAATACATTTACTAGACCGCCAGCTTAAAGTGACGGTAGAAAAACAGAACAATGTATAGCGCAGCGATTAAAACGACATAGTTAGGCTAGGATTGTAGCTCTAGTCCAAACTTTTTGAGGACGGTTCACTATCATCAGAATACAATTAGAGAATGTCCACAACATGTACAAACAAAACATTAGGACAATATTCTTGACACTTGAAATATCGAAACTGACTATATTATGGATAAGAAGTTAGAACAAAAATTAGTCTGTACCATTAACATTGGATCATACTCATAGAAACTTTTAAAAAACTGTGTTACGCTAGACATAGTAGATCGGAACTAGCCTATATACTAATTAACCATTTAAAATGCTGGACTCACAAGGCTCCATCCGCAGACTGAGTGGTGCGTCGTAGCTGCGGTCGACTGCGGCTCTGAAACTTTCATTGCACCCTCGACCACGCACTACTCTGATGGCACCTTGAGCGTTACGATACGTCCCTACATCTTCCTGCATCTGTATCTGAAACATTGGATATTATCATAGATAAAACATACTCCCTCAGTAGATTTCTCATCCTTATGGAACAGCTGAAGCCATTTTGATTGTTAGTTCTGTATGGTAGCAGAAAAATTAAACAAAAATATTGTTTAATGGAAATTCAAAATATGATTATTCAAAGAAGAGTTCTTTTTTAAACAACCAAAGGTCAAGTGAATTTCCTGAGCCACTAAGCCTTTACTAGTCAGAAAGGATTTGGTGCATGCACATAACCTTTTGCTCCTTCATACATCAAACATCATGCTGTATTGGATTCATTTGTCGAACAACTGCTCAAATGTTTCAAGTCGCTGCGAGGCACCTTGCAACGTTTGCTTGATCAGTGTGCAGCGTCCCATTGAAATCCATGGGGCGCTCGTACCCAGCAAAACATTTTGCCTCGCAACACTTGCTTCAGGTGAAATGCTGGATCAGTGTTCGGCCGGCCTAACATCTCCAGCTAATTAGACTACTCACTTCTTGCACCATGGTCTGCAGGGACTCCAGACTAGAAGACTTCTTCATACCAAGAGAAGGTCCGAGTTGAGCTTTGGACACTGCCTCATTGTTGTCTGGAACATTCCACAATATTAGACACTAGTAAAAACAAAATTAATAGTACGGTTTATACAGATTATTGGGTCCTATGCAGCTTCAGGTCACACAAAATGTTATTTAATAGGTTAGAAGTTAAAGAAAATTCAATTGGCTGATTATAGTCCTCGCCACCCTAACTTGAGGCAGCTCAAGGCCGCACTAGATATACGGCATGCGGCCTTGAGCTGCCTCAAGTTAGGGTGGCGAGGACTATAGGATTATTATGTACAAGGATATGGATCAGCTAGCTTACCTAGTAGCCCAGATTCGCTTTGGTAACACACACAAAATCATACTGTTTTGTGTTGTGTTATTTGTGTTGCCACAGCTAATCTGGACTCTATCTACCAGGTAAGCTAGCTGATCCCTATCCTGGAACATAATAATCCTAAAAATTGTTATTTTTTACTCTTACAAAATAACCAATAATTATTAATAGGTCAAATTAATGGATTCTACGTATTAGTTCCACATCTAATAGCATAACAAACAACTATATACAGAATGGCAGACTACTTTTGTAATTGATTTGAAAATACAGGTCCTTACCAAAGTTTTCTTAAATGGGAAAAACTATGGTTTGGATGATTCTTAATAAAAACTTGATACAATACAAACTACATTAGACATCAAAATGGTATATACATTCTTTTCAATTTTTTAAATAGGTTAACTTAATACATTTTTTTCACTAATAAAACATTTTGTTTAATTAATGGTACAGTAAGAGTTTATGTTAGTATATTATTGAAATATACACAATCCAAGTGTTCAACAAGCTGTGAATTATAATTTCAATCTTGTTAGAAGCATTGCAATAACATCAAACAAACATTCAATCAATTTGTGAGGCGATTTATTTCAAACATGTTGAAGATCGGCAAAATTTGGTGCACTCTACAATATGTCATGTGATTCCTAGTTGGTTCAAGGATTAAAATTTTGTATCAAATTCCTTTGTTATTGATTATAAACACACACATTTAATGGGAGTATGCAAGTACTCAGAATCAAATAGCATAACTTTTTTAAATATTTAAGTACGAGTCAAGTAGTTACAACTCAAAATTCTTTTATTGAGCAGTTATGCAACAATAATATAATAATTAATTCCCTTCGCGACGGTTTAACACATAACATTTATACATGTGCTAGGGTTATATGCAATACTAATGCATTAAAAAATCAGTTAACTATGCATTAAGTGAAAGTGAAATATTCTAATTTTTGTAAAATGAAAAGTTTAGGTTTCTTTGTGCAAGAGTGATTCCTTTCCCATTCAGGTAAGCCAGCTCCTCACTCCTTAAAAGCCTTGTGTTAACACTCTTAACCTCAAACGGTATACCTATAATTTTGTGTTACTACACTACTTAATTAAGGGATACGTACGGTCAGATCGGGCTATGGACTCTGCAGAGTTGACTCGTATCATTCCTGTAGCTCCATCTCTGGACATCTCTGTTCCCGACACCACAACACGTTAGCACACGACACAGACACAAACACATACAAGGTAGTCCTCGCTGTACGCAATACACAATGCAAAGCAAACTGCGTTGATATGGAACGCACAGCGTACAGCGAGGACTACCTGTACAAGGTTATTGACAAGATGCTGTTAGTCTTGCACATTGTAAGCACCACAAGATACATAATGCAATGTCAAACAAATATCAGAATCAATTTGAAAAGCAAAGCTGACAATGGACGAATTAACACTGCAAACATGAGCAGCGAGTTGGATAGGTAATCAAGTAAGCATTTATTTCTTGAAGTTTCTTGAAGGCTGTTTAGTGTAGCAAATTTTATGTTAATTTCCCACCAGCCTCCATAAATTAGTATGTCATGTAGAACAGATTCCAGAGTAAATGCTCTAAAAAAACAACATAATTAATCAACATCAACATTTTAACTTCAACCCTTCTTTGAATATCAGAACTTTTGATTTTAATGTGAATTATGCTTTACTTAGCTGTAAAAAAACTCATTGAGGTGCAAATTTCTCAAAACAATTTTGATATAGAGACATTTTGTCTAAGTTTTTTTTAAATCAAATATTTCACATACCTCAATTTTTTCCACGACTCTGAAAGTGAATACAAATATATACAATGATGAGTCAACCGACTGATTTCTTTCCAGTATTTACAAAGCTTAGCATCCATTCCGCAAGTGACATTCAAACAAGTGAGCTCAGGTTAGGCAAGCTTGAACCTTCACACAAGATACTCACTGCCATGTTTCATCAGTTCGTCTCGCCGCTGCTTCTCTCGCTCTTCTCTCAGTTTCTTGTTGCGCTGGTACGTGTCCGTGTTCTTGGCATCGAGGGTTGCGTGTCGCTTCTCTGACATGCTTTGACGACCAAACGCATCTCGAGAGAACCCAGCGGCCTCTTCCAGTGAAAGCCTACAGGAAGTCACCAAACTCAGAAACAAGTTTGTTACTAAACACTTAACAGTTGACTACAGTAATAACCAGGCTAATGCTTTACTCCAGTAAGGAATTATTTTATTCCAATCATAACTCAGTAACATTGATGATAAAAAATAATAAAAAAAAAAAACAATAGTTTTTAGTGGTGGCTGAATTAGTAACTGGTTTTGTCAAACAATTAACGTTTATTCTTATAAACACAGAAAATAGTTTAAAAAATAATTTATATATATCTTAATTCACATTCTTGCACAGGACTCTTACCTAGACTACATTCCTACGAATTTCCTATTGAAATGTACAATATTGTGATATTCAGGGTAAAACAGTGTCATATTACAGGTTACTTGAGCTGACGTAACAGAATTATTGCAAATGGCTATCTTTGGGGTAGTAAAAGAGTACAAGACCGAAACGTCAGCTCAAGGGTGACCTAAAACATGGTTTAACTCCTAAGATGTCAATATTGACTAAGAAAAACTTCCTTCTACCATTCATATGTATCTATCTCGGCAACAAACAAATTTGACTTTTTTTCTGACAATTGAAAACTGCTCATTCTTATATTATCGACTGGTAAGGTGTATACTGACTGGCTGGCGTAGGTAGCGTCCACCGTCTGAGTACTGCTGGTGCTGCCTCTCTGTGGAGATGTCACTGAACTGTCCACTTCTACCCTCCGCACACTGAAACACATACAATGTGCTAAATGTTACTAGTATAAAGGATTGGACCCTAGGGTTAATCAAGTACTGAACTACAGCTGTGTAAAAGTTTCAAGAGAGTTGACAAATAAAAGTAAAACCACCCGAGCTACTGATTGGGTTAGAATGGAGATCTCCAGTTGTCACTGTTTGTTTTCCTAAAGCCATTTAAAATGTAATGTCATTGAATGGGGGTTTGTATTGAAAAAAATCAGTCGTAACGAAATAGCACGTTTTTCTAAGAGAAGAAAAACTGTGATGGAAATATAATTGGATTTCCTTTCATGGGGCAAAAGGTTTGTCTTCACTAGAAATATACCTAAAACACTTGGTTGTCTATACATCAGTCACAGTCACCAAACCGGACAAGAATTATAAATCAAACACATAAGCAAACGATTATGTGTCACATTCAAGCACAAGATTAGAAGTCTGGTTGATGTTTGGTACTCACGTGGCTGGGATGTAAGGAGAGTCGTCCTCTATGATAACAGTCTCAGGCGGTGTTTGGTTGACTGTGGGACTGCCCAGCTGGCTGGTGTTGTTCAGCAGCATGGTCGTGTGATGTGTCGCCTACAAAACATATGTGCTATCAAAATACACACAAGACTACAACGACTTCTGATTCTTACACAAGATTATTCGACCACATCCAGCAATAGGTACGTGGAAATCAAGGCGTTTTGGTTTGCGTATTTAAAATAATTATAAAGCTGAACAGTTTGTAAATGTCTTAAAATATTTTATTAGATGATTTAAAAATTAATTGATGGGTTTTATAAATAGTAGTCTAATTAATCAATTTAGGCCACTAATTTCATTATTTCCAAAAACTACAAATGTACAATAGACTCACTCTTAACCGGACACCTTTTAACCGGACTACACTCGGCGGAGATGATATCTCTTTAACCAGACAATTTTTATCAGCACAACCGGACTAGATCGGCAGGAAGTGGGTGGCACTGAAACGACTGTTCTCGTGGGAAAGATTTGAGACCAGTGATCACGTGTATAAATACAATGCTCTCCTAAATTTAAGTTGAATATCAAAGTTGTTTTAACGAGTTTTTGGGGATGTTGGTTTTACCGGAAACCCCTTTATACGGACTAGGAGTCCGGATAAGAGGGAGTCTACTGTAGCAACGGATTATCTGCTTTACGATTTACAATATAATTGAATCTAGTGTGGCTTAAAGTTAACTAAATTTTCACTAAAAATATTACAACAAATTTTATTCAAAATGTACAGGTATTTTACCAGTTCCCTTGGATAACATTTTAAGTATTTCCAGTGAAAATTTCCTGTAAATAAATCTCTGTAACCTAGTTTGGTGAAATTCGTTGCATCTTAGAAACAACATAATTACAAGGTAGATTATCAGAATCTATAAAATAAAAATCACTATAAAATAAATCACTTTTTCACTGATGAATGATATTACGTTGTATGACAATTAAAAGTTAACAGGTTTTAACCTTATTTTAATCCTGCAAGAATCTGTGGCAAGACACACTGTGATCAAATTAATATTGTATATAAAAACATAATTTCTACTATGCACATACCCGATAGTAGCTCTCATTCCGTAGCCCCTGAGGATGTGTTTGACCCGTCAACCTCTCCAGAACAGGGTTCCTCATGGCAACTCCGTCTAAAATATATAACAATTATTGTTCATGGTTCCCCATAATAATAATAGTAATAGGAATAAAGCCAGAACTCAGTTCTTAAAGTCCTTCCCTTCAAATCTGGAGGTGGTTTTGGGAGGGATTTATTTAGGATCCATACAAGATTTGTCATTTAATGATAACTAGGTGAAACCCGTCGAAATCGACGGTTAGTCTAATAACATTCAAAAGCTATCTAAGAGTTCAAGTTCTTATTTCTATACATATCTATATTATGTTTTCACTAAGCTGAATGAATACATCGAAGTAACCTCTCTGTTAAGTGTGCAGTATATTGCAGTATTCCAGCTTAATGAATTTCTAAATCCTACGCATATTACATAAATATTGTAAAATGTTTTATCCAGTTTGCTGTAAACTACTATTAATTTAACAAAATATGGACACGGCTCAAATGGGCACCGTGCCCTTCTGCACTTGTATTATTTTGTATTGTATTACACAATCAAAGATTTTTCCATTGATTGAAAACATGTATGACAATAATCTCATGAACCTATGATGATCTGTCTAGAATAATATGATAAAATATAGGGAAAGGTGTGAAAAAGGCAGACACCAATCCGTATAATAGATATAAGATAGTTCTATAAGAAATAATTGTAAGAGTTACTGTGACAAAAGGATTTTCCACTGATTTCGTAATGGAATGTTATATTGCAAAACACAACATAATACAGAAGAAAATCACTTTTAAAATCAGAAAATAACATTGCAAATACTTCTTTTGGACAATTCAGTAACTCCCAATAAATGTGTGTTGTTTAAAACACAATTTTAAAATTAACAGCTGTTTCATTAAAAAGTATTGTCCACATGGCAAAAATGTAAACAAATCTGTGGAGGGATCTTTAAAGGCTTCTGGGGTGGAGCCCTAAGCGAATTTACTTCGTTTTTCTTTTGACAACTCATCTACAGACCAAGACCTTTCCTTGGACACCTCTATCAAGTTTCTACGCCAAGCCGTTCTCTCAAATTAGTGGAGACAAAGTTTCCAATTAAATATTTAGATTCTCCCATGTTAATCTTATGGGATGAAACCCATCTTTGATGGAAGATCCTGCCCAAACTAATAAAGATATCCAAAAACTAAAAACACTTTGCAAAACTACAGATCAGGGCCATTGTTTTGACATTTTAATCATCAAAATCGGTCCAAAAATGAGGGAGGAGTTCTGTTTACAAAAATCGGCTTAGCGTATTATATATATAGATGATGCTATCCAACAGAGGGTTGATGATAAATTGTAACCAAAAAAGAGTGTTTTTGAATAAAATATGTAAATTGTTAAAAGTTAGGCGCTGAAGAGCACTTGCTCTTAAATTTATTTGAAATTGTAAAAGAAGGAAGCTTGCTACTCGTTGGCTAAAGAAGTTTTTTTTTCTTACTAAAATTTACACTTGCTCCCTGACTCAAGTGGTGCATTAAGTCAAGTAGGGTGTTGATTTGTCATTTATGTGAAGTTACCAGTTTTTAAATGAAACTATATTTGGGCCTCAACACAAGGGTTTTGAAATTTTTCCTTTCAGAAAACTTGAAAAATACCATTGGTGATGTAAAACAATATTTGCCATTGACTTACCGAGGTGGTTGTGCTGCTTGTAGGGTGGTTGGAATATCACAGTGTTATCGGAGTTTTCAGAAGCTCCCGAGTTGTCAGGAGTGAGGTTAGAGTCTAGACTGAGACCTCCGAATGTCTCTGTCTGACCTGATACAGAACACAACGTTTGACTTTCTCCCTAGTTGTTGGTACTATGGTGATGACTAAGGGACGGTTTGGGAGCTCGAGCCCAGCTAGTACGCGCCTAGTGTTAGACGCGCCTAACTTTAGTCCCCGGACAAGAAACCAGGCTTGGGAGCTCGCGCCTAAGTTGAAATGGTCGTAGATCAAGTATAGTCGCGCCTAAGTTGCAGCGCAGCTAGATGTACAGGGAATCGCGGGGAATTCAGGTTTTGACGTTGGCAACGGCCACTGCAGAGCACGTTACCGTTGACAACAACAAACGATGAACAATTAAGATGGATACAATTTTATCTTGGTATATCAACGGTGGCTAATTAGTAGACTATGGTTTAAGTTTCTGCATTGTACCATTGCAAAAAGTTAGTTTTGTAAGATCGTTGATTTACATCTCAATGACGGCTATGTTTTATCTCTGGTACTACACCTTATAAATACGTACAGAGCAGCATAGGCTTCTGAAAATTAATATTATTTCTTTCAGAGATCAAAAACATTAGGTAGCCCAATCATTCAACAATGATTACCCTGTGTGTGGAACGGTAACATCTGAAACTCGGTTTCATGCAATAAAAAGCTTAAAAACTAAACAGTAATTGCCCTGTATAATATATGGATATTGACGGAAATAACATAAAAAGTATTTTAAGTAATTGCGGAGGTTATGATAGTGTAAAGCAAATGTATATCCGTTAATACTTACAAAAAAATTGTTGTAAATTAAAAAAATTTTAAACATGACACTCTTTTATCTAACTTTCCTATAGTGAAGTAGCTATATCACTTAGCTATAGCTATAGCACTTAGTTCCGGGATAAATTACTTAAAGTTAAATTACTTCCCGCATGATTTTTTTTCTTTATTTTGAACAACAGAAACCTAAAAAAAACTTTTATCAAATATACTTTGAGGGTAATGAAATTGTTCGGAATTTAATAACGAATTCCAATATAACATTCTTTTACTTAATATGTAAACAATTAACTTGCTAATGAGCTAATACCGGCATGATGTCGACTTAGACCTGCCCCCTGGCAGGACTAAAGTTGGGGACTAAACTCACTGATTTTTATGACGAAAACATATCTCTTAGTCCCGAAATTGGTCTCCCAAACCCACCGAGACTATCTCTTAGGCTGGCGTCTAAGTCTACTTGACTCCCAAACCAACAATATTTAGGCGCGAGATTATCCCTGCACAAGTTAGGCGCGCGCCTTACTGATCCTGAGCTCACAAACCCGTTTTCGAGGCGGCAGCCTAAAATACCGGAAATATCCGGATTTAGTCGCGGACTAGCGCTAATACCGAGCTCCCAAACCGTCCCTTACAGTTAGTGATTAAATTCAGCTACGTCCATTTTGATTGTAAAACTTGATAAAGCTTTAACACAAAAATGGGGGGAGAGCGAGCTGGTCTAGTGGTTAGAGCGCGGGACTTCCGTCCCTGAGGTTCCGGGTTCAAATCCCGCCAAATCAACAATGAGTTTAATCTAAGTGGTGGATTTAATCTCATAATATGCTACAACCACTAGGTCTAGCTTGAAGTAAATGTGAAAAACCATCTCGGGCTCGTGCCTAATGTCATTAGAAAAAAAAAGAGGGAATAGGATGCTAATTTTTTCTAACAATAGTCAAAGGTATAATGAAAGCTGCACCAGAACTGTTGATATCTACAGTGTCCAATAGTGCAAAGATGGTGCATAGTAGACCTACTAAGAGATTTTAAGGACGTGAATGTACCTATGCAATGGTGGTATTCATAATCTTTGTAAAAATAAAGCTCAGTATTTTTACATTCACCTGGAATGGAAGCTTATTTACAAACAAAAAGTTATTTGACAAGCTTATTTGAAAATTCAAAAACTGTATGTTACCAATTCAAAAATGTAAAATACCCCACTTATCTTGAAAAGCCATGGTGAACATTGAGAACTTAGGTCTTTAGAAAACGGGTATCCATGATTTTTACTTTTGTCGACTCTTTATGCTCTAACAAAAGACCCAAAAATAGCTACAACTAATTAGAATAAGAGGTTGACTACTTAGGGTATCATTAAGAGTAAAAATGGACAACAGTGAGTTAAACAACTTAGCAATAGATTTAATATGTACTAACATTTTAAGTTGAAATTAGGGATGGTCAAGTCTCGACGCCTGCAGAAAGTCAATGCAATACCCGCAATACAGGAGCGTGTTGTAGTTGCGTTTCCTTTGCGAAGGCGTTCTTATTTAATTAATTCTTTAAATGTAAATATTACTTTAATTATTTTAATAATATTACTTTAATGACATTTGAGAAGTTTTGTTAAGTGTAAGCAGTGTGAGGAATGTTTTATTACTATAAAAAGTCAAAACAAGTAACTATTTTATAAAAATTAATATTGCTTTTATTTTATGATTTATTTTATTTTAGGATAAGTTTAACTCCATCCTAACTGATATCACTGTTTCCTAATCGTAGGCATTTTTAATAAGTTAGGTGTGATTAATAAAAAAATGTTATGCTGATGTTTTTTAATAAAATATTGTAAATATTCTTGCCTATTATCATTATTTTTTTATTTAAACAGTCATCTAACAATGTTACAAAATCAGTGAACGTGCATTTCCCGTTGTGTATGAGAAGGGAAATCCCGTCTCGATCTCGTCTCAAAATTTTATGAGAAATAAAAAATCTCGTCTCGTCTCGTCTCGAACTAAAAATCCAATCTCGTCCATCCCTAGTTGAAATAATAACATATTTAAAGAACCAATATAATTACGCTAACATGTAATTGATAGAGTTAATTTCACATATATATATACACACAAAACGTGTTAGTAGTTAGTGACTGAGGTTTGTATTAAATGGTTAAGAAAGATACACATTTTTAAAACTACAATCGGTGTTCAGGGAAAGAGACGCTAATGTAAAATGTAACAAAAAATTAAAAAGATTTCCATTCGACAAAAAATTACCCAAAATAACCACCACAACTTTGTCAAGCATCACTTTGTTAACAAAACTTAGGACAACAAGCGGCGTCAAGGTGCTATATAATAAACTGCTGCCCTTGCAAACTTGGCATGCGAATCTCTTTCAAAAGCAGAGGGAAGTTAAAGTTAGTTGAGTTAGTATATTTACATACATTGCAGAAGGTTCAAAAGCGTGATCAAGCTTGCGTTACCCGAAGAGTCGGTGAGCAGGCTGGACAAAGAGTCACGCCGGGTACTGTCTCCGTTACTATGGCGCAGTTCTGGCACCCGGCGCGCCACTGTCAGAGTGATACAGCCTGGCGCAGGGCCATCGATGCGCATCATGGCCTTGCGCAAGGTCTCCATGGCGGCTGCGTTGCTCAACCCCAACAATGAGACACCGTTGACGTTCAACAACTGATCGTTTGTACGCAGCCTGCCGTCCCTGATAACATATTTCAATATACAGATAAAATATATAATTCAGGTATTTGTGATTTAACTATTCAACTAGCAAATCTCTAAGATTAAAACCATACACAAACTGGGCAAAACAATAAATTATTTTATGAAACAGGATGGGAATGATGCAAAACACTTACACTATGTTAAAGTAAATAATATAAAACTAACTTACCCAAAAACATTTTCACAAGTGGAGGGCAAAAACAAAAAATATCATGATTAATACAAAAATTGTATTTTTTTTTAACAACTCTAATACAATTACTCTATACTAGTCATTGTAAAATGACTTAACACAATGTTATAACAATGACTTTAACATTTTTAACAACCCAGAAACCAATAGACGAAGTTTGAAATATTTAAATCATACAAATTGTTTGTATTCCTTAACTGAACTAGTCATTATTTTTTTTAGTTTGGGTAATTAAAAAACCAGATCCTTTGTACAAAGACCCTAGCAACATCTTCTTTTAGTATCACTGAAGTATACAATAGAACCCTGCTAAGGCTAGTCCTTGCTTGATTTGACCTTGCCATCGCATATCTTATCAGTAACAATATTACCGCGGTAATAATGTGACCATTTCCCATGGTCGTAAGGCCATCATCCACATCTCTAGCAATCATGGAAAACGTTTATCCCACACAGTCACAGAAACATCATATTTTTTTCCATGATTGTTGCATAACATTTAAAGTTTTCTGTGCTCTTGGGGGCACTGGGTAATTGTAATTTGGGTTGCGATAAGAAATACACACTTATCACTTCCTTAAAAAATGCTAATTTTTTGTATATTTGTATCCATGAAAGGGATATTTAAATGTATTTGCACATGTGAATATTATCTTACCTAGAAGCTGCACCTCCATGGATGACGTTTTTCACAAAGATGCCAAGGTCTATTGCAGACCCATTGCTTGAGTTAGGGTTGGCATTTTGATTGGCTGACGTCTTGCCTTTGACACTGACACCTAAAATGAGAAGGGATGGATGAACCAAGATCATTTGCAAAAATATTCTTCTTAAATGAATAAATAACTGACCACTCGGTCCATTACTTTGAGGTTAACTACAAAAAACTTTGGACATGAAGAACAAGTTGAATTATGATGTAATTCACATTTCAAGTGTATTCATCATTGATACGTCAAAATCAAATTGAATCAAAAACACTTTATTCCAAACAAAACAATAACTCTGAACGGACAACATTACATAAATGGTAGAATATGTTCTTTGTTGAAAAACATAAAAATTGTGAAAAAAATTAAAACGTGTGGTTAGTGAGCAAACTGATATGAGATCGCAAATATACAGTCATGTACAACACAAAACACAAAAGAGTGTAAAGCATTATATACATTTACAAATAAAGACCGGTTAACTCTAATTCAAGAAAAGTTTTGAACATTAACCATTCAAGTTTTGTTTCCCCACAACTTACCAAGACCTGCCTTCTCAGAGTCGTGAACGGGGATGTCGAAAGTGAGAATCTCTCGCTGTCTCCAAGGGTACAGTCCGCTCTCATCCAGCTGACTGGGCTCTGAACTTCGGGACTGTCAAACAACAACAATCTGTGATTAAATCTAAGTTAACTTATACAGATTTACAATATAATTTAACATGCATGAGTAATAACTATGAGTATCATGTAAAAACTTTATTCTAGCCTCAGTTTATGTGTAATGGAAAGTTTACCACACTGGTGTTAGGGAATGTTATGAACAGTCAGAAAAAAATTAACTAAACATGGTTTTATGATTTCTTTTACTACCTTATTCTGTGGAGACATCTTGATCTCCTTTTCAAGAGGTTTGATGCCAGAAGACACAGAGGAGTTTAAGGACTCTGGGCCGGAATCCTAAAGATAAAAAGACAAAAATATTAAATATAGTCTCAAGCAATACGTCCTGGTCGGAACAAAAAGTATTTTAATTTTAATATTCCACAAGATTTATCCTTGGTGGTTGGATATGGTGTTACCTAAGACCACTAATTCATCAATTTACTATTTTTTTTTTTTCAATTCAGTAAAAAAAATCATAATAATCTTCACATTTATGGACAAGCATAACTAATATTCATAAATACAAATTTGTAACGAATCATGTTTTTGGTCTCTAGGAACATTGAAAGGATAAAGTAAATTGGTCTTCGGTCACGGTCTTACTGTGCCACCTACAGTAATAGCCACTTCCCTATGGGGAAATTTGCTCAAATACTTGACAAAAATGAGTTTGTCAAAGCCCCTTATTAGACTAAGCTCTGAGATTTAAAAAAATGAAATCTCACCACAGATTTAGGTGAGTGGGAAGTTTCTTCTTGGCGGGAGACCACGATCTTGACTCTGCCCCCGGGTGGAACATTACGCAGCAATGCTACGGCCTCTGATTGGCTCTTGCCCGTCAACTCCACACCATCCACGGCTAGCAGACGATCCCCCGGCCTCAATCGGCCGTCCTCTACCGCAGCTCCCTGTACACAACAGTGGAACTTCACTGAAACGGCTCAACTTGAATAGAAAAGGGACAGTGAACAATCTGACTACAGTACAACGACTCAACATAATGGAAAGGTTATTGAAGATGCCTTCTAAGACCGACTGTGCAGGTATGTGTTTTTAATAAACTATGTATATCCTGTACGAAGTAATATTTAAATAATGACATACGTATTAGTAGGAAAACATAAACCACATCAAAATACTAGTGTGATTGAAAAGTCCCGGAACGGTGTACTATATTTTTTACCACTATAGATAAAGTAGTGAGATTTGGTAAGAATAAGAATAAGAATAAGAATAAGAATAAGAATAAGAAATGTTTATTTCCATTGATCTTTATAAAAGAAATAGGACACGTCATTGTTATACATAGTTACAAGGTGATTCAGTGTTTACAGTACAAAATATCTAAATTTAAATAGACACTTACATGAAAATAAAAGCTTTTTTATTTCAACTTACTCTTCAAAATCTAATATTTATTTCACAACTTAAAAAATCATCAATTTTGTAAAAGGGATTTTTAACAATCCAGTCATACAATATAGATCAATAACATTCATAAATGTCTACTTTTTAAAGCTATTATTGCTTTTTTATCCCTTAAGCGGGACGGCCCACGAGGAGTCAGACATTCTTAAATAGCAACATAGGTCGAGTTTGGTATCAAATTATAGGTCTAAATGTATTACGATGTTAAAGGATATAACATATTGCATATCATAAATTAATCCAGGAAACAATGATGAATAGGTTTTCTAACGATTATGGTACAATTTGCAGAAGTTCAACAGTACATAGTGCAGTGTCTTAGGTATTATAGTTCGGCTGCTTAGAAAGCAACCTCCTCCAGCATTAGTTTAGCATTAGCGCGCAGGTCGTTTTCTAAGCGGCCGAACTATAGTTGACTCACCTTGGGCAGAATGTTCTTGATATAGATAGGACAGTTGCCCCCGGCAGGGTTATCCCTGGTAGTGATGCTAAAGCCGAGACCGTGAGGCCCCTTCACCAGCTCCAACTCCATCTTGCGTCCGATCTTCCTGGTATTGGCCAACTGTAGAGTGTTAGTCCCGTGTTGTGTGGCTGGCAGCTTCTTGGTTGGCGACACTGTCGCTACTTTGGTCGTTGTACTCACACCTACAAACATTTAGTTGATTATACATGGGGAGTCGTAATCCATAGCAAGAACCTTGCATTTGCCCGTCCTCATAGACTAACTGCCCGTGCGTGGATCGTATACAGCAAAGTAAGGAGTGAGCCGGTACAGTACAAAGGTGGGTCTGTACTGATAAAATGTTTTTGGCAGTGACCAGGATCCGAACCCACGACATCGCTGCCTTGGGCGCGAAGTCTGTGACGCTACCGACTGAGCCAACGAGTTACATAGCTTCGTCATTTTCTTTAGGTCTTAATCATACTATAGGTGAGAGAGCTGGTCTAGTGGTTAGAGCGCGAGACTCCGTTCCTGGGGTCTCGGGTTTAAATTCCGCCATATCACCAATGGATTTTATCGAAGTGATAATGCCATAACCCCTAGGTCTAGCCTAAAGTAATGTGAAAAATAATTCCAGGCTCGTGCCTAGCGTCCTAGGACAAAAAAAAGTATACTAGCCATGTTATCATGTCATTATCTCAGGAGTCCTCTTTTGGTTTTGATTGCATAATAAACATTTTACTATTACTTCTATTTTGTAACCTTAACCAAGCATGTAAAAATAGGTTTGCGATTAGGTTTTTAATAGAATTTTTTTAAAACTAATTAACAGAAAATTATGCTAGGTGTCCAAAATCATAATTTTAGATGACAAGGCATAATAAAGATGGAATTCATAACATCATTTCCGGGGTTACAATTGCAGTAGACCGTGGCTAGTGCTGGCCTGTGTACTGTTGCTGTTCGCTGTTTTATGTATGTTTTTAAATGCTAAGATGTTAAAATGATCAACGAACGAAAAAGTATACATATTTACAATCCCCATGTGGTATGTCACGGAAGCCCGCCATTGCAGTTCTATGATTGTATCCAAAACACTTGGTTTGCAGTGATAGTAACTCTAGAAGCCTTACTTCTAAAGATAAAACTGTACGTCAAACTCACTTCTCTCCTCCCCCTCCACCATGGCGTCCCGGTCTTGTAGAGGAGGGGGTGGTTTGGGATACACGGGGGGAGGGGGCTTCTTGACACCAGGCTTGTGTTTCACCACTCTCAACCTCAGCTCTGGCGAACGCAGCGAATCTCGGAAAATGTCTTGAACTCTGTAACAACAACTCAGTGTTAGCAACAAAATTACGTATTAAGTAAACAAAAATCAAAATCTTCATTTATGATTGCTACAAAACGGCATAGGTCAATTGGATTGCAGCGTTTTATAAAATGCTAATACATTTCAAAATAACAAGAAATATTTATCAAAAGAAAAATAGACAACAAACCGACAATAGGTATATTACTCCATTATACTTACCCTTCAGTCATATTTATGTAAGATTAGATTGCATTTTTACAAAGCAACACGCTAACTATGTTGTGTCTTTTAAGGCTAAGTTTCTTTTAAGGCTAAGTTAAATAAAGGATGAGTGTTTACCAAATGAGGTAATAGCATTGTTACTGACTAAGACCAGCTGGATGCAAAATACGGTATGATTGACATAGATCTAGAATCAGCCAGGGCCATTTATTGTTCCTTGTGGTCTACAACAGGTGGGTTCAGTATCAAAAGATATAATCTCTAGAAACAATCTTTCAACAAGTAACTTTCTGGTAACCACAAAATTACTACATCCACTCAGCTACTCACACATTGAACGGCTGGTCCAGCAGGTTGTGTCCGTTGATCTCCACGATGCGGTCGTACACAGCCAGTCTGCCGTCCCTGTCTACCCGACCCCCTGGCTCTATCCCTTGCACCAGCAGCCCCTGGTCCTTGCCTTGGCTGTCGTAGTCTGGCACCACGTGGATACCCAGTGCTCCACTCTCCGTGTCCAGCACGATATATTGTGTGCTGCCACATACAGACAGTTGTCAATAAAGTACACATTAGGAAAAAGCAAAACTGTGCAAAAGTGTTTTAGTAAACATTAAAGTACATTTAAAACTAAAATAGACACTTGTAGGTTACCAATCACCTTCAATTTAATCTGTTTTCAATTTATTAAATTCTGTTATTTATATCAATTATTTAAGATGGGGACGCCACTATGTGCGTATTTTAACTCAAATATGAGTGAAGGATGAGTGGCCTGATCTTGTAGTCTTGTTAGTGACTAAGGCCGACATATTCCTTAGACACAGCTGTTAATTAAAAGCCCATACAGCTACTGGCTTTAAGGGAACTACAGTTTATAGTGGAATCCAAACCATATTTTTGACTTGGTATTTACAAATTTTTATTTAGGAATGAAAATTAGTCTCACATTTAAATTGGAAAAGCCTATCAAAAATGGTATCTAACATGATCATTTCACCCATATTTACTCTTAAAGTAGGGAAAAATAACAAATTTGATTCACAGTGTATCCTATCCATTGCAATGAAGTTCTAGAAAATTATTAATTACAAACTCAGTTCATGGGTATCATCTCGTGTAGGAAAAAAAGTTTTTAATCTTGGAAATAAGGAGTAATCCAGTAGGCCTCTTTATTTATATTCATTGCCTGTGGATACTTCCACAAAAATGAGCTCCTTTTATATTTTTCGAATACATTAATCTAATTTCTAAATTTCCCATACTTGATTCTTATTGCAATCAGTTGAGAGGAATCAGAGAACTAAAACTGCACAATAACTTCAATATGAAACTTGGACAAGATTGTTATAAATGTAAATTAAACATATTCTAAGCAAGATTATGGTAGAGTTGTTTGACATTCACCTGTCATGTTCAGCAGGACTGGTGGTAGCCTGGCCGAGTGGCTCCTTGCGTCTAGTCTCACGGGGAAGAGACAACGACTGAACCCTGGTGTTGAGAGCTCTGTCTGCTGCGTCCATCCATTTCATCCCTCTGTGACAAAAATAAACACATCCATAATAAGCAAACTAAAACTATCACAAACCACCCTAACTAAAAGTAGATCTACAATGTTGAAAATTCTGTTTTGCTTTGGTAGAAGTGTACACAACACAACCGTAATCAACCACCAAACCAGGGTCCTTTTGGGGATTGGCTGTCTGCTCTAGATCACCACTGACTTGCCTGAGTGTATCAGTCCTTCACTGGACATTTGAAAGCGCCCTTCACTCAAGAAATAAATGAAAGGCTAAGGGGGGAAAAGCCCTAAAGAAAAATAACATTTCAACTATCACTCGCCCAAACGCTGGTCTAGTAGATAAAATGTACAACTTATTTTAAAAACCATGAAGAAAATGGACCACAAGTTTCAATGGACAAAAAGTTAAGACAAGATTAACAAATGTGCTTTCCTAACTTGGTTTTTAGATTCTTTGTTGTGTTACTACTTCTTGTGCCTTTCTGGCATATTTTAATGTTCAAGCTGTGGCCAAAATGTGCCTCGACTTATGAGGATGTTTTTGTCGTTATTGACATAACTACACAAGCACTGTGTATTATTCACCAACCCTTACATCAATGTGAACATGTTGGTAGACTTACCCAGGCCCGTCCCCCAGGTACTGCATGGACAGTCTACAGCCGTCCCTGGTGAAGTTCCTCTGAGGCGACACCTCCCTCTCATTGTGACTCCACCTCTCCGTTGTGTGACCATTCATTCCTCTCTCCTCCTACAACATACATTCACTCACTTACAACATACAACATACATTTACCATAGAAGTGACTCAATCCACCACCCAAGAAGAGCGTACAACGATTTTGGGTGTATTGAAGACTAAGTAAAAAGATACTAAACACTGTATTTGAGTTTTATTAGCTACAAGATTTGTCTACAGAGAGGTGCCGTAATGTGTGTTGAAGTTTCATTGAAGCACCGTGTTAGAGTTCTACTTAGGTTATAAATATATATATTTAATTTGTACAGGCACTCAATATTAATTAACTATAAAGTGAGTGCCAGTGGCTCAGTTAGTTGATAACATGATAGACTATATTTAAACAAGGCAGCGATGTAGGTTTGCGTCCCAGTACCGTAATTTAAAACATTTATTAGGCCTATCACTGTTCATTCTTGTACTGTGCAGGTTCACTCAATAATTTGTTGAATGATTTGCTTAAAATTGACCCAAGCAAATGCCTGAGGTGGACAGGTAAATTCAAGGTCAAAAGAAGCTGTCATGGACTTAATCTAAAAAAAACTGTACTTTGGTTCTAAAGGAGCAAGAATTGTCAAAAGAGAATTAACATGGGAATAAAATTTAAGTTAACATGTAAGATTACAGTAAATAATATAAATGTATTTAATTTATTTCTAGTTTTCAATAAAACATCTACATCTACCTAAATGTGTTAGGAGAAAAGTAACAATTGAATGAATACCTCAAAAACTCATTAGGGTTATCAACATTGAGTTTTATCAATCAATCAATTAATTATTGAGATGGGGACGCCACCCACCTGCGTATTTTAACCCACGTGAGAAGGATGAGTGCAGAATAGAGTGAGATGATCTGTGTAGCTTTGTAACACTTCAAGATGGTTCATGAGGCTATAGATTACATAATGTCACTTTGAATGTAAATGCAATGTAGTCAGTAATATCCTACAAGATTCTAAAGAGATCAAAAACTCCTCCCTCTCAAAAAACATATCTGCATAGCATAACAATGACACAAATAAATGTTTCTTAAAATGTCAATATAAATGTTTAAAATCACATTTTTATAGCTGTTACACACCTTTCTGACCGGAGCTCTAGGCTCCACTATGATGGGGGCTGCTGACCACCTCTTGGATGTCTTCTCAGCCACCACAGGCAGATGTCCGTTGGTGGTCCCTGTACGGATAGAAAATGAATAGTATTCATTCTGATAGGCCCTGGACTATGTATACATGACTTTATAGGCTTACATCCATCAGTAGTCCAAAATGAAGCCAATACAATAAATGCAAGCAACAGAAAAACAAATGATGAAAATGTACTTAACAAAATGAAAAATCCTTTATTTATTCAGGCAAAGTTAGGGCCACATCCTTTGGTTAGATTACAGCACTAGTCCTCAAGGATGTGGCTACCTTCTACTCTTCAAATAAACATATTTTGGAAATCAAAAACGTTTATGCATGAATTGAATCTAAGGTCAACATTTTTTTAAACTTCAAATGTTGAAGTCCTCTCAATACTAACGAAGGGGAGTTTTCAACCAAAAATTGTGGTGTAAATACCTGCTTCTAAGTAATCCACATTGTTGCAAATGCACAAAACTAGTTTCGACTTCATAAAGTCATCATCAGGTGTCCAGGGTATGTCAAAATCACTTCATCAGAAGGTCTTTGATACGTACATATTGTACATTACACACTAACACAAAGTTAAGAGAAAAAGGTACATTTACAACAAGTGGAAGACAAATAAAATGGTAACTTAGAGATGATGTGTAACAACTGGATGGATGTAGCGTCTAGACAAAAATAGTTAACACTGTCCACAGACTAATGCATGTATAGCGTAGTATGTTAGTATCTCTACCTGTAGAGGGCAGCAGCTGGTTCAGAGCAGGCTCACTGCCTCGCCGCACCTGTAGTGATGTTCCTGAGGCTATCTGTTCATCAGTCACCTCAATGTCTGTCCTATACTTGTCGGAGCCCTGCAACCAACATACATGTGTCATGTACCAGTACTTCGTTATATAATTACAAGTAAAGAGTGGTCCATAAATAACGGATAATTTTTACACAAATTTCAAACAGCTGTTACTCGTAGAATTTTCATTGTTGTAATAAACAACAAAATATGTGATGCCATTTGAGTAATCATGGTTCGTTGGACAGTACAACACCGTACTTTTCATATTGAAGCCTATTTGAATTATAAGTGACATTGAGGCGCCCAGAATGTTTTCGCCTTCAATCAGATGAAAGAATATTTGACAAAACATCAGACGTAATCTCGGGTCACCTTGATTGAGCTTCTGTACAACAACCAGTTTGTAAGGATTTATGGTCATGTAAGATATCATATAAACTAGACCTAGGAACACCTAAGGCAACAGAATGTTTTCTTGCTGATCTTCTTGGACTTCAGAGAACAGATTCCCGAACTCTTACGATGTTCTCATCTGAACGTGCAGCCTTTGACTTCCCCCGAGGTTTATTATTGAGAACAGATTACTTAGTTCTTAACAGTATTCCTAGAAGGAATCTTACCATGGTGACAGACGTTGAAATGATTTTGAAATAACCGCTCAATTACAATTACAGACTTGTTATTTTTTAAATAGGCTTCAATGCCAAAGGCACGGTGTTGTACTGTCCAACGATCCATGATTACTCAAATGGCATGACATTTGTTCTTGTTTATTACAACAATGAAAATTCTAAGCGTAACAACAGCTGTTTGTCTTTTGTATAATAATTTAGGAACCACCACCTTAAGAAGAAATATAACATACTAATTACTGAAAATGAATTTAAATTGAATACAGAGATGAAAATGTTACTTTATTGATGCCAACTTAGGAAGTAGTTCAAGGTCTTTTTTCAGACAAATTACTTTAACATAATTGAGCCCATTTTTGTATATTCTGTTGCAAAATTTTTTTGTATTAAAGGTAAACGTTTTGTTATGGGATAGCTCAACCAATCTATATATTATAAATAAACAGGCTATCTAATATTAAATATCAAACTGTTATTAGAAAGCATAATTAATTATAGTCCAGTGACAAATTGCAACTAGGTTCAAGATTGATCCTTTGCAAGCTCTTGCCAACAACTATGACTTGGAAGGCCAAACAAATTATATTAGTTTGATTGTAAGAGATTTTTAGTTTTTAACTTCTTTAAGTTTTTTAATATTTTTGTAATCTTTTGCCACGGAAGATAGTTTACGAATGGTTAACAGCTTTTTCTTACAATGTTAACGATTTGTTGTCTATTTACATACAAATTATTTATTGTTTTTTTTCATACAAACAGTAAACTAAACACATACAATGACAAGCATGAATAATTATTTTAATTCATACAGTTTTAATGCTGATTAATTCAAAACTCCAGAGTAAAACAGTATAATAAATTCACCCATAATTTAAAAATAAATTAACTAGTCTTACAAGAGTAAACCGCGAGGAGCGTCATCACAAAGAACAAGTTTCTGGTACTTGACTCAAAGTAAACATTACTGGAGTCTGGGGAGGAAAGGTCATCGGCCACAATGGTCAACAATCCCACGACTTTCACTCTCGTTGGTTCACGACTGGACACTACAGATACCAGCTGTACTTTCACCAGACAACACCAGCACCAGCACGAGCCACAACTGTGAGCAACACTACAATGCTACACAGAGCTGCCGCATTGTTTTGCTGGTCAGGAACACAACTGACCACGTCATGCGGTAAACATTGAATACCTGAGTGTAATCTTCAAGGGCACTAGCTTTTATGTATTTATTGAGTAGGTATGGCTGTGTTTAGCAATGTAGTATGTCCATAGAATATCAATTTATTTTATTTGGAACTAATAAAGAGAAAAATATGTAGTACTATATAGCCACCGATTGTACAACATGAGGTAGTTTCTATAATCAATGGTCTTTGTAGAAGAGAACAAATTTACGTACTTTCATACATGTTGGGATAATTAATGATTTTTGTAAAAATTACGGCTTAGTTGATATTACGTAGTTTCATTGACCACCGTGAACAAACAGAAACAAGAACGCAGACAGAAAAAAACACCTTTTTTCCATACAATTATATATTTCAGTCCAATAATTTATTTTGTACAAGTAAGTAGATAATAAGTGTACAAAAAACTATATTTTTCATTACACACTCTAAATAAGCCAAGTTTCTCCCAACCGACTAAGCAACTAAACATGATCCATAAGCATGATAGCGCTCATGAAGTGTAGTTAATTACACTCAAGTTGGTGACACTGAATGCATGAGAGTTATCAGGTGTTTACTACACAGGTGATTACCATAGACAGTAGAGGGGGGGGGGGAGCTAACAGCTGTTTGGTTAGTAACCTTACATGGAATGTGGCACTCCTTGGCACCACAGGACTGTACTGGCTGTGTTGGCAAATAACCAATCAAAAATAATGTTGTAAATTACTATCGAATCTTGAACGTCATAAATTTAATGCCTTTGTGAAAAAAAATATTTTTAGATCATTTTAATGTATGTTGGTTATTTAAGTATCACCAAAGTAAAATTGAAGGGAAATTCTTCTATGTATATCTATACCAATTAGAGAAGAATTACTGTGGTTCAGATGTCATGTCTAATAGAAGTTGAAGGAGATTACTTATTATACAATTTTCATTTCTTACATGAGAACCTTAGAGATCTTTTAAATTTGTGAATGTCACATTTATACTTAAAATGAACGATTGCCCAAAACTGTATAAACAATACCCTCTATTGAAAGGTAGACATTTATTGTACAAGAGTTATATAAGAGATTGGCACACAGATGGTGGACAGTCTATTGTCTTGTGATTACACTCGACTGATAGAGTTGCGACAGGTGATTGTCGAGTGCCATCCACTGTGACACTCGTGCAATCCTTTCATACAACCTTTCGTTGTTGTGTAGAATTGTATCTTAGATTCGGTTCCGCTATAGCAAACCATTTCTTGATTAGAATCAAGCCAGTAACGATAGTGTTCTTAGGTCACATTTAGTAGATTTCCTTGATTATCCTACTCCAGACAGCTGGGTTGGTTACTCCAGCACTAAGGTGGGTCGGCTTGATGGTTTTGTGATTTATGAATTTTTTTTGTGATTATTTCTATTCAGTAAATAAAAAAAACGTGTGAGTAAAGCTATAAATTAACCTACCCTAAACTATAGGTTTTCCACAGTTGAAATAGTGGCAGCCCTCTTCTGAAAAAGACCCCTTAAGGTTGAACAATTTACTACAACACAATTACCTAAATGCAGCTAGACACATGAATTAAATCAACCAATTTGCTGTTAGTCCAAATAATTGCTTTTACAAACTAAAAGCGAACAAAGGGTATTGTTTGTACAGTTTTTGGTAATTATTTTAGGTAAAAGTTTGACATTCACAAATTAAAAGAGTAATCTCTGAGGTCCTCACATAAGAAATGAATATAATAAATGACCTTCAACAGCCATCAGAAGGGAATATTCTGCTGAATGAATCCCATTGTATTAATCAGGAGATTGATCTTTGTTGATTATTATTAGAATTCCATTTAGAATTATTTTTATTGTCATCTTTTAGTTGTTAAAAACTCTATCTTAGAATCAATAATTTACACTGTGTAGCCATGTCGAATATTGGTCGTTTTCATGTTTACAATTAATTAAATGCAGCCAATCTCAATCTGTGATATAATTTATAGCTACTGTGATAATTTTGTGTATTAGTTTAAGGATTTTTTTGACGAAATCAATTACAATATTGTATTGTTTAAAGATGGAATAAATGACTATTCATTGACTATTCTATTCATTGATGGTTGATTTAGAATAACTACTAGTTCAGTTAACAATTTTGGCAAGGGTTAAGTTTTGAAATTTGTCATTCTTATTAATTTTCAAGAAGAGTGATGGCTTTGATTTATCAGACAATTTTGGGCAACATAAAAAAAAAAACAAATATTGAGTTATTTTGGCTAAAAAATGTGTTATCATTACATTATGCTGGGAAAATAATACATTTGGCCTTGTAGAAAGATAAGGTAGGTAATCGAGAGAATGATATTAAAGCCATGAGATATTGTGGCGCAGAATAACCATGTATCAGGAAGTCAGAGAGAAAAAAAATCAAGAGAACACAGTGGAATACTGCATATTGCATAATACATGTGGGAAATTCCCTTGGAGGCCTTGTATTACACAATCCTAGATTGCATCTGTTTTACTTATGAAGTACAAATGAAACACTACATTCCTTTCTTAATAAACTTTACATTTTAAATTGTAATTTTTACTAAGGAGCTTAATTTGTCCCTGTCATGAAAATCAGACCAATGGTGAAGTCTTAGCTCATTATATGTTTACAAAAAGAAATATTTTTTTAAATACTTTTTTTACTCTTAATGGTGCCAAAACGAACATTTTGTACGCTACAAAGTTGAAATAGGAAACATATCAACAATACTCTCCCTATAAACAAATACAAAATATAACTTGATTTAAAGTTATTATCACAATTTTTTTAATGGGCGGTTATAGTGCTACCATTTAAACCTAAAGGTTTCTTGGTTACAAGATAATTTCTAGACCTAGATGGAATTTGTCATTGGGCATTCAATTAATGATGCTGTTTAACAAAAGGCGGTTATTAGTTAGTAACACACCCAGGATTTGGGCCATTCTCTAACAACCTACAAAAAAAAATATCAATATTGTTTAGGTCATTAAATACAATAAATATATCTCGTAACGTCAAGATTCACTTTAAGGAACAGTTTGTCAGTTCCTCAGTGGTAAGGACATTTAGGACTGTGATGCTTTCTAAGTAACATTGTGTGAAGAGAATATTGCCCATAACACTCACACCTACTTTGGTCATGTTACGAGCCATGATACAACTTGTCGAGTTATATGAGCATGCGGCTTGTAGAGAAGCATTGATTTTAATGGCGATACAAAGTTCAACAATATTAGACAGAAATTTAATTGTTACAACAAAAACACACCTGGAACATGTCAGGACTCGGAGAGCCGACACTGCTGCCCGAGGCGCCGTCTCCTCCATGGTGCAGCGGAGGCTCACCGTCCTCGAATGTAGCGATGATCTGTTCCCTGTCATCAGCCACGTCGTTGAGTCTGTCGTCAGGGTCCAGGATTCCTCCATCGCTCTGGGACTGAAGACTGTGTACAGCCACCCACGAGTCGGCACTCTGCAACAACACAGGGAAAAATAGAGACTCGGTTCTTTTTGGGTTAGGTTAGGTTATTAAAGAGGAGATTGTTTAAAGTTGGAGCTGTTAGCTCTTAAGCACCGTTCCCACAGGCCGTGAGGCATCAGAGTGAGTCTCAAATCGTGAAAATTCTGCTCTGTGGGAACGACGTGGAGTGATTTCCAGTGAAGTCACTCAGGGTGGTTATTATCCATTCCAATTTAATAGGTTTAATGGGCGTGAGCAGCTAACATATTTGCATTTTTGGCAATTTTTGCGGTTTTCCTATGCTAGTTTATTTTGTGGTAGTGTTGGTGGTGTTGTACAACTTCAGGGGTGTGCTGTGTCAAAGTCATGGAGTATGTGTACTCAACAATAGGTAGTTACTCAAGATTGACGACATTACAGTTGATAGTTTAGAATGTTGTTTTTAATCAACCAGCGTTCAAACAAAAAAAGATACATATCTTTTTAATATTGTAACTCTTGAATACTGAAGAATGAACCTGGAATAACCGTATTGTTATTTACTGTATTTTTAATTATTTATGTCATAAGTACATTGTATTATTTTAGAGCCATCTTGACTAGGTACCCTCAGAGATCATTACAATGACAAAGGAAATAACAAACATTCCCATTAGCCGATGACAAACATGTTGATAAACATAAATTCCATTCAGTAAATCTGAATCAATAGTAAACCGACTAAAAATAGACAAGCTGGAAGAATCCAGGAACAGTTGGAAATTTACTAAATTTATCAGGCTACCCCATGACTTTCGGTGTGTGAAGATTGATTTTGAGGATACTGTATTATATTACGCAAGACATTTTTGGGATGTTAGTCAGGTAAGTTATCCCATTTTAAAATGTTTCTTCCATTTAATTGACTACACTTTTTTATCTACAATTGAAAAACGTACTTTATGGTAAGTATTTACCATTATGGTAAGTAGCATCATAATACTGCATCATAAGGTTTTTAGTTAGATAACGCAAGCTAATGTTAAAAAAAAAAACTTTCAGTAGTATACAGCACTTAACATGTCTCCGAGTTTGTTCAATTTTAGCAACGTAGGATTTTCTGTGACCCCCGCTTCCCAAATATTCCCAAAAAAAAATTGTCGATCTGACTATTCACACAACAATAAGTGCTGCTTTTCCTTAACCTCCTCTCTGAGTAGGTCATATTATAGAAAAAAACAAAATCTGTGGAAAATTTTAGTTTCTAAGACAGAAGGCAATATAAAATCAGTTGTCAAAAAATGTATGCTCAGCATTGTTGTCAACTATTATTAGAAACCACACAGGCATACTACTTCTTGTTCCTGGCATGGTAACAGAAAGTCTGCACAGTCTGACCTTGAAACAGTCAAGCCACTTGTTCTGCGAGAACTTCCACTGTGGAAACATTTAATTTCTAGACAGAACGCAATATAAAGTCAGTTGTCAAAAATCAATGCTCAGCATTGTTGTTAACTATGATTAGAAACCACACAGGCATACTACTTCTAGTTCCTGAATGGTAACAGAAAGTCTACACAGTCTGACCTTGAAACAGTCAAGTCACTTGTACTGCGAGAACTTCCACTGCGATTTCCTATAGAAACGCGTGGATGATTTAATAGCGCACATTTCATAAATAACACAACACTCGCACATAATGGGACGGGAAGGATGAAATTTCTCAGGGTAAATACTGTGTATCTGCCAGATGTGACGGTATAATTGCAGAGTAGAGTAGTAAGTAGGAGATTAGTAGACTAGTTATGGAGACATGTGGAAAATACGCTCAGGGGAAAAACAAGGTGTTTAGAGAAAAGCCTGACAATGAATGATGTTCGCAAACTGTTGAAGAGTCTACTAAGTCGAGGATGACACTGATTTAAGACAAGAAAAACTCTTACTAAGAATGGAAGATAAACAATTGTTTTACTCAGCGTATATTTAGGTCGTGCATTAATTGCGCAAAAGAGTTTCTTAATTACGACAAGTCCTCAGAGAGTCCTAAAAATGTTTCTTAGTTGCGCCAAGCCCAAGCCAGGTAGGGTGAGTTGCTAGAGAAGGAATGGCCTTTTTTACGTGTCATCCTAACCTAGCCTAACCTAACTTAGTCTAACATAACCTAACCTAACCAACTCAATCATACAGTCAAAGACGGCTGCCACTTGGTAAAATCAATAAACGTATCGGGTGTCTCCCTGGAGTTGGCGCAATTCAGGAATACCCGACTACCTGACTCAGGTCATTTGGCGCAATTAATGTCCACCCTTAAACTATGGGATACGAGAGTTTTTCGTGAAAAAGAGTCCCCAACAGTAAAACAAGTCATAATCAGACCCAATCAAAGACATTATTCTGCAAAGATTAAACTAAAATTATAATTTAGTGCGATTTTAAAAATTTATTATAGTACAAGTGTAAAATCCAGCAGTGTTGGGGCACGTCTTTAATTTCATATGTATATCAAGTTCTTTCCAAAAATAATTTTTGAACGCAGTGCTTAACCAGCAATTTCTTAAGTGTTGCAAATCAAGAACATTTACATACTGTAGACCAACTACCATATCTGGAGAGCTGTCGATAGTTTCCCTGGCCTCAGTTTGCCGCTAGGCTAGTCACAGGGGCGCAGGCCGAAAGCCACGAATGTTTATCTCTATAAGCTGGGGGGACGTAAGCCACGGCAATTAGCGAGGGGTTGATAAGTTTTAATCCTGGGGACGAAAGCCACGACGGCGGGCCAGGTAGTTGGGATGGGCGAGGGAGAAACGGGAATCTCTCACATGAACATGGCAATTATAATAATGCAGTGATGGACGCAAATATTTTGCTAAAGCTGTTTGATGATGTCTCAATGAATTTTCAATTACAGTTGTAAGAGCTAAAAATATTGAAGGAGCAGACAAATTAAACCCTAATAATATATTCCATATACATTCTAATAACCTAATGTAAATAAGTTGCTATTTAGAAAGTGAGTAAATAATTTCTTCTATTAAGATTGTGTTTACAATACATTATACCATCGATATGTCCAGCTACTGTCAACAATGCAACATTAGGCTAAACCTTTGCCTGATTAATTTACAACTGTTTGCAACAACTTATTTTTACTCCCAATAGAATAAAAATGATACTTTTGACCCGCAACGCATGAGGTATAAATATGAATGTTTTGCTTTATTATGACGAAAACCCCTTACTGTATTATTATGGCTATACAAGGTTTTACGTCGGCACGGAAGTCCAATACATGTTTAGTTTTGCATGTTGTAATGTTGTAATGTTGAATGCAATAAGTGATGTGGTATATTTTCTATCACTTTTTTTTGTTAAACAATAGCTGTGAATATTATTGATATTTAATTTTAAAAATCAAAACAATTACATTTATTCATAAGTATTAGGTAACTAAAAAACTTCGTCAATATTTTTGCGTGGTTGATTGTCACATCCTACACAACAATTATGTTGCTATATTGCTTACTATGTATCTCTATAGCAGAGTATTATACAAATGTGCACCACACTAATCATTTCTAAATATAAAAGCATATTTGTTAAAATTCTGATCAGAAATAAAGTAAAGTTTTGGAAAATTACATTGTTAGTGAAGAAGGCAAATTCAGTAGCAGCCGTTCTTATGCATCTGCATACACGATGTGGTGAATGTGGTTAACATAGTTTAGGTTGAACTATAAATGTATGCATTACTTTTACGTTAAAGAACCAGTAAGTTACTATATACCAGTGCGTGTAATATTTTTACGAGGGTAGGTAATATAATAGCGTAGGGTTGTTGACACCCGATTTCCGGCATGGAGGGAAGTATCTTGGAATTAGTCATCAGAATGCTGCGTCACCCTTACATTTCAGCATATTTAGGATTTCGCATCAGTTTTGCCTAAACATTCAAAGCGTGAAGGACATGGAAGATTGTGCGGAGTTGGTTTTTAGGAATAAGGGCAAAGAGTCCTTGATGTTTAATAACTTTAAATTCAATTTGCAATCGGTATTAGAGTGTGGAAGAAAGAAGTGGTTTTGCGAGAGAAAAAGGCGAGGCGGCTGTAAAGCGAAATTCTTCACCCAGAGTAAAATCTTATAATTATTTATCTTTATCTATTAACCTAATTGATCAAGATATGTGTGAAACGTTAGTTAGCAAATTAATTTATATTCATTGAAGACTTAATTTAAATTATTATTTTGTTTTCAACTGTATCAGTATGTTTTAGAACTGACATTTGTCATATGAGCAAAAAACCGTAATCCTTAATAAGAGACAATACCATCTGAAAAGTAAAATGTTGTTTGTTGTGTGATAAATAATACATTATTCATCCTAGTAAGATAGTAAAAATCGGCTAGTCAACGGCTCGGACAAATTAATACTGTTTAAAACTGATTTTCATCATACTGTCCAGAAAATTGCCATTTTTAGTGTTCTAAATCGTCCGCGAAACCATCGTTTTCGGATAACTTCAAAAATAGGGAACAGAAAAAAACTATGATAAACTTTCCAGTTTGCTAACATCAAAATGTGTATGGTGCATAATAAATTGTATTAGTACATTATGAAAAGGCTACTAATCACACGATATTTTAAGTTTATTAAATTATAAATCCTGAGATAAATAAATTCTGATCAATATTTGATATTATAATAGAAACCTTCAAAACAGTTTTAATGTATTTTTGTTATTTTTACTTTTTCACCACAATTATGTGATAAAATCACACTTTTATAATTATTTGCAAATCTAAACGAATTAGGCTTTTCAATGACCCATTAATTAAAACTCGGTTGAGTAGAAAGTAGTATTGGTTTAGTTTTACAACGTTTAAAAAATATCTTTAACTAAGTATTTTGTCAGTGTCACCACTATAAATTCGAAGGTTGCTTAACCTTTTTGAAGAAAACTTTTAATTGGTGCGGAAACCGATCAAAGTGTAAGGTAATATTCTGAAAGAGAACTGTTTTAATGCGTGGTTATGAT